ATGAGCACGTATCTGTTTGGAAAGCCGAGCACGACCCTCTCTGTCCCTGCACTGCCGACGTTGAGCAAGCAAGTCCTGAAAATCCTGACGTTGCCAAGGCTTCACATCGGCCAAATCACGCTGTGCAGTTTGTCGGCTCGCAAGTTTAGCACAACGCGCGACGCAAGATTCAAGCTCATACATGTTGACCAGCGCCGACTGTTGAAGACAGGTGTCCAAGTTTATCTGATACCTGCGCTTTTCTGCGACAGACGGTGACCAGCGTTGCTTGCGTGCGACTGGCTTGCGTCCTTGGAGGCTACGCGGCCCGGTCACCTCAAGGGCCGCACGTACCGCTCGATGATCGGACCCCAAATCCAGCAAGTCAGTTGCTCCACCATGCGTAACGTCAAAACCAGTACTACAAAGCACAAAATCCAAACGACGTCGTACCCCCATTGAACTGCAAAACGTCCAACTGTCATGTTCTTGCTTTGCATTTGCGATGGCCATGCTGAACATGTGAGCTGTCTGCATGAGCAAGTCTCCGCGCGGACCAACATGTAGCTGAGTGTTGAAATCGCCTCCGACAACATATGCTATGTTCCTTTTTCGCGCGCCTTCTAGTACGCAGTGCAGAGAATCATACGTTTGCATCAAGTCTTCCGTCGGATATCCTGCATGTGGCATGTAAACCGATACCATGCGAAATGTGAGCCCATTGATGCGCAAGTCCACATACAACACACGCTCATCAACTGTTTGCACTCGCTGAACTGCTGCCACATGTTTTGAATGCACAAGTATCGCCACACCTGCACAAGCCGTCGGACGTTGAGATGAAAACAAGCGATGGCCACCTTCTAAATCAACAGCCTCACTGGATCGTCTGGTCTCGGAAAAGAGCAAAACATCCCAAGCATTGATCTGCACCAATTCTCCCAATAATTCTGATATCTTGTCTGCTGAATGTAATCTGGCATTTTTGGCAAAAACAACCACCTCACGCGAACGCTCTTCTGAAAATTTGTTCTGTGCATGTACTTGAAGTGTTGGAGTTGCACCCACCGAAAACTCGGGCTCGGCACCCGATGAAAATGTAGGATGTTGTGAAAATCGACTCGAACGGAGATGTCCCTACTGGGCCTGTCGGCCCTTGCTCTTGCCCTGGCCCTTGGCTTGTTTCTGAAGGGTTCGCGCGGAACGCACGAGAAGCTCCTGTAACTCGGAGCTTTCTTGAAATTCTGTCCAATCTGCCCATGTGTCCGCCCATGTGCATTGTAAAGAATCATCTTTGTTTGTCACCCTCACAACCAACAAGGAGCCGATGTGCATGGTGTTGAAGTCATCATCAATCTTGATTTCTTGCTTGACGAATCCCCACTGGATCAACTGCCATCTCAAACCCATGAGAAAGAGCTTCCTTGCTCGAATTGGGACCGGCAAGTCCTGAGTCGCCCATACATTGTCTGACCCCATGTTCATGTTCGCACTTCGGATCAGTGCAACAGCCATGTCCCTTTCACCGACAGAGGAAAACTTGGCCCACAACAAGCCCAACCACTCCTTGGATTTGCTGTACGTCCCCACATGTTTCGGCCCACTCATCCTTGCAAGTGTGTCATTCAACCACGTGGTTGCTGCGTGCAACCCATCCAGTGATTGTAAGCCGCCGACAACCATCGTACAAGTGGTATCTCGCGACACCGAGCTCGAGTCCACACGCAAACTCGAAATTTGCGCTTGCAAATCTGCGAGTTGTTGTTCAATTTTACCACTTACATCTGATGCGCAAGAACGCGGTGTGGGATTTCTCGAGTCCAGCCATTGTTCCATTTTTTCAAGACGACCGGCATGATTTTTCAATTGCTTCTCGATGCCCTCCACTCGACTTCTGACATCATTTTGCAGGCTGGTCAGCTTGGTATCCACGCTGGACAATCCTGTCTGAACCTCATGACGCATAATGTCAGCTATGGTGCGGGCAGACACTTGCAAATGCATATCTTCATCTGACGGTGGGTCAAGATTCTCGACACCGTCCATCTCATGTAATGGGGATCGTGTGGCCTCTCTCTTCACACCCTTTGCAGGCGGAGTCATTGTTGCCTTCATGTTGCACACAACTATTGCGTCGCGCATGTTTGCTTGCCGTCAATACATGTTCATCAACTCGACGGACCAAGTTGCGATTCGGGTTGCGCAGCATCTAATACCGGTTCAATCCTCTGCAAGATCATATAGGAAAACACTTTGTACAGTAAGCGTAGATTCGCAATAGGACGACAATCACCAGTTGTTTTTGCTTTTGGTGTTTTTGCCAACATGCGGAACAACGTCGTTCGCCAAGTGGATGGCACATCACCAGTCGAAAAAACGTGATTGAATAGGTCAAGCAGGACCTCCAACAGTGTGTGAGGTGCATTCTGCAAAAACTCAGCTGACAACCCGCAATCGTCACAGGCCTTGTTCAACTTTAGATTTCGGATTGCCTTCGTCAACTCGTGCATCGAAAAGGGGGGCATCCTCCAAAAAAGCTGGCTTTACAGGTTCCACCACCGCGCCAGAAAACAAACGTGACAACATGTCAGCAAAATCATCGGCAGGCGGGGGAATGGGTAACTGACGGGGCGCAAGCTGTAACCTCCCAAGCGCTTTCCAGTGCTTGGTACTTTGCAAGTATTGCGCACACCTTCTCGATTTGAAAGCGGAAAGCTCACGAGCATGCGTCTTCCGTATTTGAAGACTCAAGTCCCGACATTCGTTGAAATCGGGTGCTAAACGGCGTCTGCAACGTAGTTGTCGCAACGCGTTTGAAGGTTTGAACTTGCAACGTTTTTCAAAAGAACAACCACCTTTCAGCCCAGCTTTGCCCAGCGCACCCTCTAACTGCTCGAACGTGGGTTCTGAAGTGTTCCGTAACCATGTTGTCAACTCATCGTGAAAAATGGCTGCGCGACCAAACTCATCAACATGCGGGGTCCAACCTTTGTGATTCGTACGTGACTTGCGTTTTGCAGGACGTTTTGGCATAGCTATGCCAACAATGCAATGCGCCCATCTGTGATCGATACCAGTTGGCAATGCAAAATCGTTCCATGCATCCAAGACATCAACATGCAATTGCGCAAGTAAGAAATCTATCTGCACTTTGGCACCATCGCCGTAGCGCTCACATGTCCAATTATTATGGGCGCCCTTCATGCGATTCAGAATTTGCAAGTTCTGCCCCATAATCCATCGCACAAGCATGGAACCACGATCGTTCCTCGTCCCCGAGCCGTAAGGCCCCACATGCATGCAGTCGTCTTGCGGCTGCAATCCACCAATTCGAGCGTTAAAATCTCCTCCGAAAAATGCTGTTGCATTTGCCGATTGCTGATTGTCCTGAAAAAGCGAAATCAACTCATACAACTCCTCAACTTCGGCATCAGGATCCCATGCTGTCGGAAAATAGCATGCGAACATGTGGAAAACTCGGTCAGCCATCGTGAATCGCAAAATGCCCAAACGATTGGAAATTGCATGAAAAGAAATCTTGCTCAGCTGCTGCTTGAAATCCTGCGAAATGCAGATGCCAACGCCTCTGCTGGACGTCCCACCGCTTCAGTCAAAAATAAGATGTCATATTCCAAGCAATCAAGCTCCGCCAAGAAATCCTCGAATCGTGACGTTTCCCGAATGCTCTGTACGTTTTTGGTTACCACATGCAACTGTAAGAATTCGTCGTGTTGCCTTGCGGCCGCCACTGCACGCTTATCTGGAACAAAATTCCGTTGGTGCAGAGCCGCATGTTGATCCTACTCGATGTCGGCGATGAATTCCTCCAACGCCGTCTTGATGGGGGCTGTTGCAATGCTGTCTTGCAACCACTGAACGGTCAAATCTTGATTGACCAAGGCAACTGGCACTTGCTTGGAGGAGTTGTTTCGGACGACTACCTTGAACAGCTTATAGCTGGCAATGACATTTGCAGGACTGAAGCCGCCCAGCTCAATCAGATGCTTCTTCAATTTGCTAACAACAAACGACCTGCAGCGCTCTGCGCGTGATCGGTTCTCTGCGGCCCACAGATTTGCATCTTGGAGACCCTGATGTCTTTTTTGTGAGCGAATGAACTTCATAGCGCTGGCAGGAGACGCAAACTGTGCTAAACCAAGGGTTGGCTCATTTCCCGTCATGGCAAGCGACTGAAACCCTTCCACTTCTGCAAGCAACTCCTTCAAGAGATTCTCTGCTTCTTCAACCGGCCGGTCCCCAAAACCCCCCACAACTGCGATGGACTTGTCAACTTCATCGACACTAGCATTTAGGAGCGGAACTGGCAATATCTGCTCGAGTTGACGGACTCGGTCCTCCAACTGTAGGCGTTCCTCTCGCTCACTTGCAATTTGGGTGTGCAAGCATCCAAAACTGTCTTAAAAAAAAAAACTGTCTTCCACAGTGCGCGTAAGACGTGCTTCCACATCCATGATGCCAAGCGCGAGTTCCTCCCTCATCATGGCTCGCAATGCGGACAAGGTGGCAGCACTCATTTCAACCTGATTGACGTTGGAGCCGCTGCTGTGTGTGAGCGCAAGAGGTGTTGACGGTGGCTCTGGTTTCTTGGCTCTAGCATTGCCTTCCCTGTCAGGAGTGCCCTCTGGCGCTCCCCTCTTGACTGCGGGATTCATATCCACATCCTTGAAGTGCAAATACTTTTTCTCGAAATCGGCACTAAGATCCTGCCACTGCGCCCCTAAACGGGTAGCATCCCCCACTGTCGTTGCTGCTTTGTATTTCTCGTACCTTTCCCAGGCTTTTGAGCCCACCTTTTTGGGATTCTCGGCCAAGAAATTGATAATTGTGCTGTCGCTCTTGAGCAGTTTGGTTTGCTCTTCTGACAACGGCATCAGATCTCCAGCACTCGGAACACGAAGTAGCATCAACTATCCCCTCCCGCTTGAGCCTTGAGCCTTGAGCCAAAATGGCTTCGTTGATTATATTGATTGTTTCTGAATTTAAGCATGCGGTGTTGCCAGGTTGGACAGGACGGATCCAAGAATGATTGCAAGGTTCACGTGGCAGTCAAATGTGCCCAACGATAGCGCCACAGACACTTGAATTTTGAGGTTGGTCGATGGTGTGGGCCGATTGGTGGCCGAGCAGCATGCGTGGGCACCTGAGATGCAGTGAATTCAATTTATGCGGTGTATAGAAGTACAAGTACGAAAAAAAGATACGGAAAAAGAGGCTCACGCCCGCCCAGACGACCAGCTTTGTTTGCTTGGCAGCGAAGGCAACCGAGGCACCGCAAATCCGTGCAAGCAGTGACGCCTTCCCACCGTTAGTAATATGCTGCAAGGCGGGCACAGATTTGTTTCAGAAGGTGCTGCCGCCACACACCCAGCTCACGCGCAGCAACAGAGGTCCCTGCACCGACGCAGGGGGACCGAAACTTGGAAACTTGGACAGGCATGCCGAGAATCATCTTGTGGATTTTGAAGTCCGGGATCTTTGCAACTTGGCGTCGGCGGTCAGCAGCCGAGCTTGCCCATGTTTATTGGCTTCCGGCTGACTGCCGAAAAGGATTCATGATTCATTTTTTTGATTAAATGCGTTTTTGTGGTGCATGAGGTGGCTGGCTTCTCCAACGCATGCAGCCCCCTGTTGAGGAGCATCTCGTGCGAGGCGTGTTTTTCAACATGTCCTGTGGCCCTGTTGACCTGATGTTTGAAGCAGGTGTTGACCAAAAAGAACAAAGCAACCCCTGTGGACTTCGTCAATATAGTGTGAGGGACTGAATGCTGAATGCGAGAAATGTTGCTTTGGTGCCGGCAAATGTCAGCATATGAGGTGGGCTGTGGCGGAGGTTCGTTTCAACACGGAATCGTTTCTCGAGGCAACGACACGATGCACAGACTGCCACGATGCACAGACTGCCACGGGGATTCTTGCACGCACACACGCCGAGGACTTGCAAAAAACTTGTGAAGATCGGCTGCCGCAGATGAGTTCTCAGGAGCATCTTCATTGATTGATTTGTTCGACGGTTCTTAAGCGAAAACCACCACCAGCAGATCCACACACAAATCGACAAACATCCCAGGGGTGTTGACACATTCTTCTTGGTTCCAATGGAGGCATGACAAAGCACTCAATCTGTTCAGGTTCGTTGGACTTTCTGCAAAGCATTGTCGTCATGCCATTCAACGGCATGCTTCTTGATTTCGTCCACGCACACGGCAGGAGCTGGGGCATTGGCTTTGGGCATTTTGGAAGGCACACATCGAGTTGTAGAATGTCACATATGGCCGGGCGAAAAGGTTTGCTGGTCCTTGGTAGAGTTCCAGGTGGAGCTGGCCAACCCCAAGCTGTTGGTGTGTTTCCCAGACCACATGTGGTCTTGTGAGTGCAAGTGTGCCACTTCTTGAGGCTATGATCAACGCAAATGCCGACATGAAGGCTCGGAGCATTGCACTTTGAGCAAAGGTCGAATGCATCATGTGTGTGTGTGTGTGGATGGTGTTGCGCGCCTATCTTTCCCAGCCATTACGGCTCACACGACACACGTATTTGCTCACGCTGACGTCCCACCTCAAGCTTACAATGACATGGGCATTGTCAATGTGAATATCCGAATATCTATTTTCCCATTCAGCAGCAAATGTTTTGATTCTGAGGCAGGCCTCGTACAAACAGATTATGTAACGCTGTTGGAGCTCATGGCGTCGACCCATGCTTGGCCCCTGTCCAATGCAGAGCTTCGTGCGCGCCTGTTGACACGCTGGTTGACAATGGACGAGGCCTTTTTTTTCTCCGATAGTTAGCATGGCTTGCATTGAAATACATGACGTTTCATCAGGTGAGCGAGTAATGCCGTAGCAACTCCGTAGTAGTGCTATAGATGTTTCCGGGTTCGATGTGAATTATATAGTTCAAATCTGAATCGCAGCCATCCATTGGATTGCATGGGAAGGCACTGCAATCAGCTTGTCTTCGAGAGCGATGGCAGCAGCTCAGCTGTGCAGCAAGAAGGCTGTTTGCATACATCTTGACTTGAGAAAAGAAAGGTTGAACGAGGCGGAGCTGCGCGAGTTGTTTGAGGCTGAAGTTGAGGCCGGAGCTGTGTCTCATGGAGGTCGGGAGTCGGGACTCTGTTGCGGTGTTGGTTGTGATGTGAGGCAACATCGTCGCCCGAGCAAGTGAGTTTGGAAAGACAGATGGCGTAGCTTGGCTCAGTTTGTCAATGTTTGCCTTTCGACGGATCCACGCCAAATAGGCGGTACACTTGAAACCAGCACGCCAAGTCGGCCGCGCAAGTCGGAAAGCGCGGCGCAAACAGGGCTCTACAGCATGCTGTAGCATTTGCTTTGCCGAAAGGCTGTGCTGTTGCACAGACTAGCGTGTCGATATTTTCAATGACACGGCGCCAAGCTGCTGTTCTGATCTGTTTTCGTAGCACTCAAGAAAGTCTTCTTGTGCCAGGTTGTTTATCGTTTAGGTAGTTTCCGTGCACTTCACTGCAAGGAAGAAAATGTCGGCCGCAGGCCGGTGGCGCCTCAGAGTTGAGGCCGGGGGCATGTTGCAGACATGTTGGACTGGTAACTGCTGCCTGTGCGTCTAACGCGATCTTGAGGCCGGAATTCAGCGTATTTTCTCGCAGCTTCAAAACAAGCAGGACCGGGAAGTGGAACAAACTTTCGCGATATGCAGCCTGCTGCCCATTGGCATGTCAGTGTCAGGATACGAATTGCGTTCATCCAATGATTGGCCGACGCGCGCTTTTGTATGCCCTTTCGCATCTTGATCAAGAGTCCAATCATGTCCAGTCGAGACATTCGAGACGCAGTGAATATGCAGTCGGGTCACCGTGGGCCACCATGAATCACGGCCAAAGGTACAGTGCGCCCAGGGAGGGCTTTCGTGCTTGGGCGACCCGGCGGTGCACGGCAGACGATTGGAGAGTGCTTCGCAGCTCGACACTGATTTTAGCAGAGCCTGAACACAGTCTGAACACGCGGACTTGAACAATTAAGTAATCTCATCTCCCAGCAAGAAGAATAGGTTTGGCGGAGTCCAGGTCTCACTGCGCCTGGCGCGGCAGAGAGAGAGAGAGTCCAGTCGATGTTTCACTAAGTCACTCGGCTATGCGCAAAGTGAGGTGCTGCGGTACCAGCTTCTGGATACCTGGACCGTGAGTCCTTCTGTGACATGGTCGTTCTTGAGAATGGTCATGTTGACGATGCAAAGGACATGTGGTGTGTAGCGGCATGATGCGAGGGGTATGTTGACGGCTGTCTGAAACTCGGGAGGGTGGAGGGACAGATCTTCGAAATCAACAGGAGTGGTTCGAGCTGCTGCAGCAAGCCGCTGATAATTCTGGCGACCTACCGTTCAAGCCTAAGCTAAGCCTAAGCTGCAAATATCTGTGTTGCCAGAGTGTGTGTGAAAGACCGGCGCTTCCAATGGAAGGTTCGCATTCCTGCAGCGGCAGGCGCTGTGTTGCCCCCGTCTTCCGGGTGCTGCAGATTGCCTCGGGCCGTGGGAGCCTACGGCTCCCCAGCGGAAAGCATGCTTCGCGTCACTGTGCGCTTGCGAGGTCTTTGGGATGAACAGGGCTTTGTCAACAGCTGAGGAGCTGATTCCAAGACTGCTTTATGTGTGGGGGGACTTGACCGCGGCCTTTGGCTGGGACACTCAGGACAGCGCTTACTTGTAGCAGACCGGCTAGTAAAAAGGTGCAAAAGCCAGCAGTCTGTGTGTCCTTCAGAAAAGAGTGGTCCAGTTGGACGCAGGAGAAGAGCCGCGACTTCTTGCTTCTGAAATTTCAGCACAGCACTGGCCAAGTGAGCCTTGGCTGCACACATGCTGCCCAACAGGGCTGATCCAGAACCATGCGTTGACGGAGGAAAGCAAGAGGTAGGGGTTGTATTAGGGACTGCGCCCGCGAAATAGTACAGCTTCTTGTTAGGCAGAGATTCCCTTGGCCTCAGACAGTGGCCATCGACAGCCAGCTCGGGGGCCTTGCCTGGTGTTGCGATGTGTTGAGTTTAGTGGGGAACTAGGAACGAGATGCAACTCGAATGCGCGCAAGCGCTGCATGAGGCAGTGGCTGAGAGCCCTACGGGGCACGCCCGAATTCCCATTGCTCGGTGCCTTGGAGGAATTGAGTACCCTGCATGGCAGAGTGTGAAGCAGATCGTCCACAAAGAGCAGGTGAAGTCGAGGCGAAGGCAGAGTCAGATCGCTTGGGTTCACTGGGGCTGACGATCGAGAGGTGGGCAGCATTTGGTTCAAGCTGTGTAGCCGATCCCTGATCAACCTGCTTCGTAGGGAATGTCCAAGATGTTGGGACCTGCTCATATCGTGCAGGCTGTTCCCAAACCTCTCAGATAGACTGCAAGTCACAAAGAGCCTTGGCTTCCAGCGGCTGTGCCAGTCACCAGAGGTCTCTTGTGTTTGTGTCCTTTAGATGGCCTGAGGAACCTTTTCCTGCCTGGTGAACTCGTCGTGGTTCGTTATACGCTGCGTCGCAAGCTCAGTGAATCTGCTGCGGCACGCGAGCAGTCAAAAGCTCTCATCTGCTGTTGTCCAGGTGACTTTGGGCACTATGGATCGTGCGGCCCTGCACCTTTGGTGACTCGAAAAGAACCGAAGAGTGAAGCGGCAGCACATCTCAAATCGCCTGGCCTGAAAGGGCCCGAAGGGTTTGCTTCGCCAGCTGTTTCATTTTGCCTCATTTTGCCTCTTAGGTTGTCGGTCCAGAGCTCCCTCTGGGAAAGGCGCCATTCATTGCGGCCGTGCCAGCCCAACCGGAGCTTGCAGGTTTCGAGGCCAGATGCTAAGCAGACCTTCCGAACGTGTACATTGGCGTGTGTTGGCTATCGGAAGACCTCGGGAGACGATTTTCGAAACATGCGGGCAGCGCGTGAGATGTTCGAAGGATGCCTGGAGCCGCACTGCGCTGGATGCTTCGCTGCACTGCGGCTGCGTTCGGTTGCGGGCGCCAGCTGCGCTGCAGGGCACCTCCGTGCCCGGGCGGAAGAGAGGAACACACACAGGGAGAGATGCAGTGTGTGTTTTCTCCTGCTGTGCGGTCAGACGTTCACTTATGTTCTTTTCATGCATGCTTGACGGCTCATTTAAGGCGTTCTGGCACCTGCAGATCTTCGCCTCGGATGACGGGCATACTCCTGCATCTGCCGTGAGTGCACCTTTGCTGATTCAGGCCGGAGGGCTGCAAGTTTGGACATCGTGTGCTGAACCGAGAGAGTGTTCGGTCCATTTGCGGGATAACACCACAGAGATGCAACTCCCTTCGCTGCCTCGAACAACTTGGGCTTGGCCGGCTCGGCTGTCCAACAGAGCATCGCCAGGTGATGACCGTGCCTCCTGCTCCGCCAAGCGAAGTGGCGGCCGAGACCAGGGATACATCTATCACTCTGACATGGGCCGAACTTTGTATGCAACTTTGGCCTTCGATCGTTTGGCCATGTGTGGCTTCACAAAGCTCCAACTCGCTGTTCCTGAGGAGTGTGCACAGAATGGTGGTGCTGCTGTTGACAGATACGAAGTTGCTCTCTGGTCGGCGAAATCATCCGAACGGGCGTGGAAACTTGGTCCAATATATTGGGTATAGTTGTGGCTGTCAGCAACTGGGATCCTTCCTCAGTGCATTTGTCCCTGTACCCAAGCCGCGCGCCCAGGTCGGGACATACGCAGGCGACTCGGCTGCAGGGTCGAAGTGTGCGAGCAACTTAATTGTGGATATTTGTGGGCTGTTCTGATTCTGTTTTGTGGGGGCTTTGCGAAGCCTTACAGCCAGGAGCCTGTGATCACCGCTACGTCACTCTTCCCAGACACTTGACTGAGTTCAGGCTTAGGCGAGGATGCTTGTTCTAGCAGCCGCAGTTGAGTTGTTGCCCCGCGACCGATTCAAGGACTTTGAGTATATAGTTCAAGTTCGCGCAATCAATCGATCCTTGGCGTGTTAAGAGAGTCTGCTGGCAGCTTGTAACCAGTAGCCCGAACGATGTGTGGCCTGAAAAAACAGAAAAAAAGACCAAAGGCTCAAAGCACGCCACCGACCAGCTTAAACCACCTCAGGTGCCGGCTGCGGTCCCTGGAGCCAAGGCTTCACCACCAGAACACTGGCGCGGGTCCCCGCGCCACGGCCGCCCCAGCCGGTGGCAGCACCACGGCTGGCAGCTAGCGGCCGCATCTACTTTTAGCCACATGTAGCCACTTGTTTCTACTCTCACTGCCCCTCTCAGATCCCCGAGGTTGGCAAAAGCCATGTGCAGCTTCGTTTGCCTGAGAAGGCGAGGTATGCATGAGAAAAGCAAAGTAGAACCCCTGGTTGCATGAGGTCGGACATGTGACGGGCTATGTTGTCAAGGCCATCTCTTACAAGCATGGGCAGCCTGGGGCTTCAGCGTTTGCAGCTCAGAGATATTCAAGCA